CCTTGTGGACTGGGGGGCCACCCCTCCCCGTGCATGACTGTGCCCCACGGACTGGGGGGCTGCCCCTCCCCATGCACAACTGTGCCTTGTGAACTGGGGGGCCACACCTCCCCATGCACAACTGTGCCCTGTGGATGGGGGGCTGCCCCGCTCCATGCATGACTGTGCCCCGCGGACTGGGGGGCCGCCCTCCCCATGCATGACGCCCTGCCTGTGCCTGCACACACCCCGGGGCCCAGGCCGGACATCCCAGGGCCTCCTCCCTGGCCTCCGCGCAGGCATCTCAGGCCTCCGGCTCCCGGGCTGTCCCCGCACGGCCACGTGGCCTTGTCCCATCTTTGATGGAAACATTCAAGCGCCAGCCTCGCCTCCGAACCAAGCAGAACCTCTCGGCCTGGAAACCGACCGACTAGGCCAGCGTGGCTGAGTTCCCCGGCAGATTGCTCACCTCCCACCTCCCCCAGGCAATAAATGAAGCACTTTATACTTAATCCTCACAATAATCCTTTGAGATGGGTATTATCCTTGTTTTTCAGATGAAGTAATTGAGGCTTAGAGATGCCAAGTAAGTTGCCCTAAATAACCCGAAGCCCCGGGTTTCCTAGGGCCCCTGAGCTTATCACAAACTTGGTGGCTTCAAAACCACAGAAATGTATCCTCTTGCAGCTCTGGGGGCTAGAAACCTAAAACACTGGTGTAGGCAGGGCCGTAGTCACTGGGAAGACGTTAGGGGAGAGTCCCTCCTTCCCTTTCCAGCTCCTGGAGGTCCTGGGCATTCCCCGGTATTTGTCGCCTTGTGGCTGCATCCCTCCTGTGTCGGTCCCATCTTCCCGGGGGCTTCTTCCCTGTCTGTCTCTTCTGCGTCCAGGTCTCGGTCTCAGTCTCTGTCTCTCTCTCCTTTGTGCACTCATTGGAATTAGGGCCCACCTGGACTCCAGAATGATTTCATCTTGAGATCCTTAACTAATGACATCACTTATCCACCTTCTAGAACACTCCTGGCCATAGTGAATTTCTCTCATTTTTCTTTTTTTTAATAATAAATTTATTTTTTATTGGTGTTCAATTTGCCAACATATAGCATAACACCCAGTGCTCATCCCATCAAGTGCCCCCCTCAGTGCCCGTCACCCATTCACCCCCACTCCCCGCCCACCTCCCCTTCCACCACCCCTAGTTAGTTTCCCAGAGTTAGGAGTCTTTATGTTCTGTCTCCCTTTCTGATATTTCCTACCCATTTCTTCTCCCTTCCCTTCTCTTCCCTTTCACTATTATTTATATTCCCCAAATGAATGAGACCATATAATGTTTGTTCTTCTCCGATTGACTTATTTTACTCAGCGTAATGCCCTCCAGTTCCATCCACGTGGCACAAAAACAGACACCACAGATCAATGGAACAGAATAGAGAATCCAGAAGTGGACCCTCAATTTTATGGTCAACTAATATTTGACGAAGCAGAAAAGACGATCCACTGGAAGAAAGACAGTCTCTTCAATAAATGGTCCTGGGAACATTGGACATCCACATGCCGAAGAATGAAACTAGACCACTCTCTTGCACCAGACACAAAGATAAACTCAAAATGGATGAAAGATCTAAATGTGAGACAAGATTCCACCAAAATCCTAGAGGAGAACACAGGCAACACCCTTTTTGAACTCGGCCACAGTAACTTCTTGCAAGATACATCCACGAAGGCAAAAGAAACAAAAGCAAAAATGAACTATTGGGACTTCATCAAGGTAAGAAGCTTTTGCACAGCAAAGGATACAGTCAACAAAACTCAAAGACAACCTACAGAATGGGAGAAGATATTTGCAGATGACGTATCAGATAAAGGGCTAGTTTCCAAGATCTATAAAGAACTTATTAAACTCAACAGCAAAGAAACAAACAATCCAATCATGAAATGGGCAAAGGACATGAAGAGAAATCTCACAGAGGAAGACATAGACATGGCCAACATGCACATGAGAACATGCTCCGCATCACTTGCCATCAGGGAAATACAAATCAAAACCACAATGAGATCCCACCTCACCCCAGTGAGAATGGGGAAAATTAGCAAAGCAGGAAACCACAAATGTTGGAGAGGATGTGGAGAAAGGGGAACCCTCTTACACTGTTGGTGGGAATGTGAACTGGTGCAGCCACTCTGGAAAACTGTGTGGAGGTTCCTCAAAGAGTTAAAAATAGAGCTGCTCTCTCATTTTTCTAAACAGATTTTTCACTTTCCTGCCTCTCTGCCCTTGCTCATGCTACATGCTATTTTCTTTACATAGACCAACCTCTCCCTTTCTCTCTTCTTCAACCAATCTTACCTGTGGAAATCTTAAAGAGCCTTCGAGATCAAGCTCAATGCCACTTCCTCCAAGCAGACATTCATGCTTGCACCGGTCAAGCAAGCAATTCTTTCTCCCACCCCAGCTCCAACTGCCTTACCTCACACGTCTCTGCTGGGCCTTCTGATCTTCTACAGTCTATTCTAGGTTTTTATGCATTTGTCCTCGTTCACCACGGTGCCCACTTCCCACTAACCTATCACAAGCTTCTTAGAGGCACAACCTCTTTCTCGTAACGTGTATTCTCTGCAGCCCCTTGCACAGCAAGAGTCCATAAATTTAGCCAAGTGAACTCATAACCATCTGCCTCTCCCTGTATTGAAGAGCTCACGTATTAAGGAGCAAAACTGTAGGATGTTTAAAGACCAACGTTTCCCCCGTGTTCCCACTTCCTCAAAATGGAATTTTTAAAAATAACCCAATTTACTTTTCCACATAAAATCCAATCATTTTAATAATTTTTTCCTTCATTTGATCTCATCTAATGGTAGCACATCCAGTCCCTTCCAGGTATATTCCTCCCATGGTTATTTTGGTTTCTTCCTACCGCCAATGCCACCATCTTCGGCTTCTTGGGACAGGCAACTGCACTATTTTCAGGGCTCTGGGGACCAGGATAGGGTCTCAGTCATTACATTCCCAGCACCCAGCAGGGCCTGGGTGCCCAATAACACTGAGAGGTGCATGAAGGAATGAAGGGGTAGACATTGCATTAGAGTAGAAGGCCTCGGAGTTCTCGTGGGAGGATAACCTCTGCAGGTCTCCACCATCCTCACCACAACCCTGTGAACCCGGCATTCTCATGCGACACATGGAAAACTGAGGCCAAGAGGTTCCTCCCAGCCACACATCTAAGTGATGAAACCAGAGTGAAACCCAAGTCTGTCTGACTCCAGAAAGCCTCTTGGAGCAGAACACACCCCGCACCGTCCTGCCCCGGCTCAAACTGAGGGAGCCCCAGTGTGACAATCCCAAAAGGGGCCCTTAAGCTTGAGAGTCTTGGCAGCTCTTGGCCCCTTGGCTGGGAAGGTCCAACATACACGAGTAGGATGGTCGGATCGGGGAGGACAGACAATAGTGTAAAGAACGCATATGTACAGGGTGTGTATGTGCTGGTGGGTGGGTGGGATGCAGTGCACGTGGTGTGGGATATACATGCTGTGTTTGCTGTATGTTCATGTGTACGGGTGTGCTGTGTGGAGGGGTGTGTGATGACAGCGTGTGTGGTATGTGTGGAATGAGTGGAGTGCGAGGTGTGCAGTGGGGTACGGGATGTGCAGTATGTGTATATGGTGGGGTATGTGAGATAGTGGGGGTGGTACTGTGTGGAGTGTGTGGAGGGGGGGGTGATGAGGGGGGTCACCCGTGGTGTGTGTGGTGGTACCTGGGGATGGAAAGAGCTGTGTCTCCGGGAAACAGTTTGGGACACAGGAAGATGCAAGGACTCCAAGTCCCATCTGGACGCCACTTGTAGCTCAGACACTTCAGATCTGAACTGGGCCAAGCCGCTTATCCCCCTGACCTTGTTTGCTATAAAATGGCCTGCGCACTCCACGGGGCCGTTGGGAGGTCTTTTCAAGAAGAAACACTATAAAAGCCCAACACTCACAAGGGACAGTGCTGAAGAGCAGAGGGATAAAAGGGAAATGCAGCAGGCCCTGCCTTTAAGGGGTTCTTCAATTCCACTTAGGGGAAGGCAGACACAGGAAACGATTTACACCATGGAAGGCGTAGGGCAATGAAAACAGACACGTCTTGAACCCTTCACGTGCAGCTGATTAGAAGATGCTCATCTCACCATCCTACCAGAGAGGCATTATCAGCAAGCCCACTTTGCAGATGAGAACACCGATGGTCACAGAGGTTTCACCTTTGCTCTAAAGACCCGCTGACGTTAAATGGCCCCGATGTCACCTGTGAAAGCTGAAGGTTCACTCTTGATAATATCACCTCCCTGTACCAGTCCCTTGAGCGATCCAAGGAGGCGGGGTGCACAGAGATGGGTACCTCCACGCTCAATTCGGAAAAGAGGAGAACGGGCCTGCAGAACTGAGTTACCTAAAACTGTTGCATTAGGTGGTGTCGCAGGTCCCACGGCTGCGTGTCTCATTACAGACTCAGAAACGCAGGGAGGGCAAGGCGCTAACCACGTTCTCCTTGCCTGGCTAGATCTCAGGCTGAAAATCACCAGGTTCCTTTTTTTCCCCCTAATCCTTTATAATTTCCTCTAATGCTTTAGTCAAGCTTAAGACCATGAGCCTTCGGGGAGCAAAGGCCCATCTGCTCAGTCAGGAATTTGCCAAACCAAAAGATCAATCTGGCTTTTACCGTAACTTAGCATTTAGAGGACCCCAAATACTTCCCAACTGTATTAGCCAAAAATAACCTTGTGTTACTGTGACCCATGGCTCCAGAGGAGAGGTGTCAGGGGTAGTCTTTGAAACAAACAACAACAGGGCCACCACCGACGAAAAGAAGGAATAAATATAAAATATAAAATAACAGGTATGTTTCCATAGGGTGCGCTTGCGTATGTCCGACATAGGATGGTTGGATCGGGGAGGACAGACAGCTTCCCTAGAAGCTATAGGGAAAGCATCATAATCGGCTTATTTGGGGAGGAAAAACATTTTAAGAATGCCTTTTTTCCCAAAGATTTTATTTCTTTTTATTATAAGACATATAGGTAAAAACTCGCATATTCTGAAAAAGATAGAAAATGGTAATAAAATGGACATTTTTCCTATTAAGAAATATGTTCATAAATATGCTTTATCAAATGTTAAAATGATTATTATTTTGCAAAATAACAATAAATAGAGCAGAGCTGTGGCATACAAGGGTCAACCCGAAGCACTGGAAGTATTCGCCTTTCGTGTTTTATAAAAACTCAGACTTTTGATCATATTTCAAAATTTGGCATTTCGCACTCCAGGTTATCAACAATTCAGATTTGAAAAATATATTCATGATGGCCCCAAGACTTTAAAAACCGTGAAACATGAGAGGCGGTTCGACTACGTAGAATGTGATTTAAATAATTTTGCCCCAAACAAAACATTGTAAGACACAGAAGCGAAGATAGGATTTTTGATCTCGTAAGCGGTATCGGTATCAGTTCCAATGCTATAAATTTCTGGATCCCCAACTGTGGGCATTGCACAAAAATCCTTTGCTAAGCTTTAGTTTCCAGCAAGGTCCACCATTTCTTTTCACAGCTTGATGGAGCAATAATAGTCACGATTATGAGGAGCCCGGTTCTACAAGCATAGCTCCATGAATATACGGTACAGAGAGATTCATTTTCCCGCCCGTGGATTAATCCTTTGACGGCTTTCCTATATTTGCTTATGGCCCCCTGGCCTCAGCTTCCTCTCCTGGAACACTGGGACAAATTTTAATAATGAAAAGTCCTCGTTCTGAGCGTTCTGGTGCAGGCTTCCATCCTCTACTATACGGAGGAGAGGAAACACGTGTGAACGCCGAACACACCCTCTCAGGAGTCTCGAGTGTTCCAGTAGCAAGGTCAGGCTTTTCCTGCAAATAAATACTGATTTTTACAAGGACCTGTGGTCTGCCATGCCCTTGGCTGCCCGTGAGGCTAACACGTGAATTCCCAGCTACAGTGGGGGAAGCCGCACGTAATAGTACCGAAGGATGCAATCTAATATAGATTATCGGTCCCGGTGGTGCTCACGATGTCTGTCAGGGGACATCTGGGTGACCCCGGGGGCCTAGAGCACAGAGAGGTCATGGCAGGACTTGGACTTGAGCTTGAAGGCCATATTCTTGTTGTTTTTGGCCACGATCTTGCCCCAGAAGCGCCTGGCTTTCCTGGGGATGCTCTCCCGCCTCTTCTGGTAGGCCAGCCGCCGCTCGTTCTTCTCCTTGCTGTCCCGCCGGAGGCGCACCTGCCGCACGATGCCCTCGAACAGCTCCTTCACGTTGTGCTGCACGGCCGCCGACGTCTCGATGAACTTGCAGTCGAACACCACGGCGCACGCTCTCCCCTCTGCGGAGGGAAGAGGGCGGGACAGTCAGAGCCGCTCGGCGCCACCGGCCGCAGGCCACCGCGACGCGGGTCCCCCATGGGTGCACGGGCGGGGTGGTGGGGAGCTTCCTGGAAGCAGGGGAGCCGGGCTGGCACCTGGCCCACCTCAGGCTCCCGGGAGGAGGGCCCCTCCAGCAGAGACGTGACCTTAACTCCAACGGGAAAACCACAGCCTGCAGATACGGCGCTGCCCGCGCCGCCGGGCTGAACACTGCACAAACCGTATGCCCAGGTTCAAAACAACCCCGAAAACTCTATTCTCCCTTTCAGACAGATGAAGAAACTGGGGTGAGGGGGATCTCTTAAAAACATGAGGGACGGGCGCCCGGGTGGCTCAGCGGTGGAGCACCTGCCTTTGGCTCGAGGCGTGACCCCGGGGTCCTGGGATCGAGTCCCACCTCGGAGCCTGCTTCTCCCTCTGCCTGTGTCTCTGCCTCTCTCTGTGCTGCTCATGAATAAATAAATAAAATATTAAAAAATAAAAATAAATAAAAACATGAGGGACGGATGCCCGGGTGGCTCAGCGGTTGAGCCTCTGCCTGCCTTTGGCTCAGGGCGTGATCCCCGGGTCCTGGGATCAAGTCCCGCATCGGGCTCCCCGCCTGCTTCTCCCTCTGCCTGTGTCTCTGCCTTTCATGACTAAATACATACAATCTCCAAAAATCAATCAATCAAAACATGAGGGAGTTCCCACAGCCTGTTAAGTCTGAATCCAGACCTGCTTTGTCCTCAAGCTCAGATTCGGAACTCTTTCTCCTGACTCAGTTTCCTGAATTGAACAAGAATCCTACTCTTTGACTTCTCTCTCTCAAAAAAACAATTTTAAAGCTTCGATGAGGTACTTCGAAAAACTTTCGATGATTTCACCAATGTACGACACGGTCCCAGCAAAACGCATGAACCGGCTTTTCCGGAGGAGCCTCAATTTCGAACACTCCGTCGTGTTCCCTGACCTTGTATCCACGTTTTGGTTAGAAAAAAAATGACTGCCGTAGACAGTCGTCCCCTAAGAGTGAGACATCCCGAAGCTAGCTGTATATGGTACGTCCTTATCAGATTTCATTTCTCCTGAGTAGGGCCCGACAATGCAGTATTTAATTTTTTTACCATCGTACTAGGAGCCAGATCTGTATTAGGCCAATAACATCTCAAGGGACCCAAGGAAAGAGGTGATATCCCTGAACTATGCATGGAAATGTCTGTGTGAGTCCATCAGGTTGGTGCCTTCACAGAAATCTGGGAAGGAAAAGGTAGGGGACAGGAAGGAGGGTGTTCCCAGGGGCCCCAGGAACCAGAGGCAACCAGAGTAGAATTCTTATTCTCACTGAAACTCTCATAGTTGCCCCCAATCAGAGTTCCCATCTTACGTTTCTTTCCCTGAACTCCTAAGAGTTCCCTAGAGAAAAGGACAAGGAGAAAAGGTTGGGGAGTGCCAGTAAATCCACCCCCCTTCTCCCGAGCATGCTCTTTTCCCTAACGGAATTCCAGGGTGGGGACAGGGGAATGCAGCACATGGGTCAGAAGGACGAGGGCACGGCCATCGGCACAGAGAGGATCTACGGGGAACGCTGGAGCCTCCCCCATGACGCTCCACGGGGCATTTCCCTGGCTCCCACTTCATGAAAGAAGAGAAAAGGGCACCCATCTGGAGGAAAGGCAGGCGACCCCGAGACTGTGCCCCGGTCCTGGCGCCGCTCTGCTTACCTGACACAGACACTTCCCGGCACCGAACCAGGTCACTTTTGTTGCCCACCAAAATTATAGGGATGTCCTCTGCCTGCCGGGCCCTGCGGAGCTGGATCCGCAGCTCAGATGCCTTCTCGAAGCTGGCTCGGTCCGTGATGGAGTAGACAATCAGGTAGGCGTCCCCGACTTGCATGCAGTGGTCCTGGAGCCATTCGTTCTCCCCCTGGTACAACGAGAAGACCCTCCCTGAGCTCGGGCTGGCCTGGCCAGTGAGGCGTCCTTCGCAGAGAAACAATACGCGCCTCCTAAAGTTGTTACCGTCCACTCCTCCCACATACAGCTTGGGTTGGTGAATTATTATTATACGATGACTCGGCCAAACCACATCTCCAATTTCTATCTAACCGACCAAAAATGAGCTTTTTTTCTGATTTCCAGAAACTCCCTGTCCCTTTCCCAGCTGATGAAATTTAGGATCCTTCGGTGAGAATAGGACGACTCTCCGTAAACACAAGGTCGAGCCTACGTGCTCGGAAGCCCAGAATCTTTTAAAAAGGCAAATGTTGGAGACTGGTGTTAAGGATGTCAATGCCGGGGGCGCCTGGGTGGCATCCGGCTCTTGGTTTCAGCTCAGGTCATGACGTCAGGGTCGTGAGATCGAGCCCTGCGTCGGCTCCACGCTCAGCACGGAGCCTGCTTGGGATTCCCTCTCCTTCTCCCTCTGTCCTCTCTCTCTCTCTCTCTCTCTCTCTGTCCCTTTCAAATAAATAAATAAAATCCTAAAAAAAAATGTCAACTTCATATAACCTGGTTTTATGTAGTTTTAAATTATCCTCCATACTTGGCACTTTCCCTAAAGCAGACATAATGCTTTTGTCTCATTTTAAATAGAACTAAAGGCAAATCGCGGCAACTTGCTTATTATTCAGAGCCCGTCCGCGAGTGGCCTCTTCCTTAGAACAGGCTCCTACTTTGGGGGGGAAAAGAAGCATCTAATGAAGCAAATGGGCCCACCTCACCTAGAACACAGAAAAGGACAGGCCCACCTCTGCCCCTGCCCCAGACAGCCCACTGGAAGGCAGGCCTGCGAGGCACCCACTGCCAGCGACGGGCTCCGCGTACCTTGTTTTCCCACATGTCCAGGAGTATAATTGTTGCGCTTTCCCCATCAACAATCAGCGTGCGCTCATAGGTGTCTTCTAGAAAAGAAAGGACCGTGGTGCGGGAGTCAGGGAGGTCGGCAATGCTTTCCGCGCGGCAACCAGGCACACAGCCGCAGGGGCCGGCTGCTATCTCTAACCCCTCCCGCCACACTCCACGTCCCTCCGTTCCTCCAGCGTTTCCCCAGCAGAACACTGACGTCTTCCGACGAGCCCCCCCAAGTCCTCGTCCTTCCTAGACCTTTGCTCCGGGAAAATCATCCACGGGGACACGGTCGCTGAGCTTCTGACTCCGACTCCGTGGACGATGCTGCGGGAGGGAACATGCTCGCCGCCCAGTGGGTCTGTAAGCCCCACTCCTAAGCCTTCCCTGGAAATATGCCCTGTACCTCTCGGGTGGGGGGGCTGATTGCTGGACACTCACTGGCAATTTCGGGAGCCCTAGGCTCGGAGGCATCGCTCCTGTTGGGAGACGAGCCAGGAAAAATCCCGGGACTGTCGCTCTTTTGGCTCACGTGCACGTCCTTAAAAAAAATTACGGTTCCCTGGGACTAAGCAGGCTTCTCTCCCCATCTTCAGTACGACCCCCGAGACCTTCCTCCCCGCCCTGCAGCCCAGACCCAGTGTAGGTGGAGGGGAAGGGGCAGCAAACGAGGGCGGAGCAGCCCCTGCCCAGAGGGACCAGGTGGGGGGCGAGGGAACTGGGGTTTCTGCAGGAGGGAGTCCCATCAGCTCGGCATGAATCAGCCCGTCCCCTACTCTATTTTCACAGTGAGGCTCCCTGTTTGGAATTTCATCATTTGAAAATTATGATTTTCATAATGATGGGGTTTTTTTTGTTTTGTTTTGTTTGCCATTTTTCTTGCTGCTCTTTTTGCCTTAAATCTGTCCCCTGGAACATCCAAAGGTTTGTGCCCTTACCCCCATCCAGGGGAAGCTCCCTCGCCATCTACTTAGAACCACACCATGCCTCTCCCACCAGTATTTCTTGCTCCCTCCCAGTTTTTTGTTTTTGTTCATCGTACTTCGAGGCACCTAACATGCAATTATTTAACTTATTTTTTATAGAGATTTTATTTATTTTTTAACTTATTTAACTTTTTTAGAGATTTTTTTAGAGATTTTTTAACTTATTTTTTATAGAGATTTTATTTATTTATTCCTGAGACACAGACAGAAAGGCAGAGACACAGGCAGAGGGAGAAGCAGGCTCCATGCAGGACTCGATCCTGGGACCCCGGAGTCACGCCCTGAGCTGAGGGCAGACGCTCCACCACTGAGCCACACAGGTGTCCCATTTAACTTATTTTCTTACTTTCTGTCCCTCTTACCCCTGGAATGTTAAGGCAGAGGTCTGCATGAGTGCTGCTTGCTACTCTACCCCCCGACCCCTGGGCAGTGCCCAGCAAGCTGCAGGTGGGCAGCAAATAACTTATCGAGAGAATGAATGAACGCCGACCGCGGCCCCGGGGATACAAGCACGAGCAAACCTGAACTAGGATCTGGATGCCATCCCTTCTGCACTACGCAGTTCTGGACCATTTACGTGCCCTGGGCCTCAGTTTTCTGCATCTGTGAAATGGGACTGATGACAGCATTCGTGCCTCAAGGCCACGTGACAAGGACACGTGTTAAGCCTGGGCTCAAAGTGGAAAGGCCACAAATGTCAGCTGTTGTCATCGCTCGTCCAGGCGGAGGAGGCTGGGCGAAGCGAGAGTCAAGGAGAAAGAGAGTCCGACGCCACATGTGCCATTATTCCTACCCTACCCGCGCCCTCGCTTTAAAGCACCTCGGGGAAACTGGGGCCCTCCTTGTTCTAGAATAGTGAGGGGTTTAGGGCAAGCAACGCTCCTGGTTTAAATACTTGCTCATCTAGGACACTGGATGAAGGTAAGTGGATCCGTCACGCGCAGCCCGTGTGCCATCCACCACGTGCAGCCAAGCGGGACCGCGGTGGGACATGCCGGCTTAGCACAGAGCAGGCCCCGTGCCTCAATGGGCCTATTTATACAACCTGAGCCGCACTGGGGTCGGGGGGGGGGGCGGGCTGGCGGCCTAGTGGCTGCCTCGGACTTCTTTCCTTTTCTCTAAAAAAGTCTTCCCCGTGCTCACAAACGCCAGAGCAGCACCTTGTGCGCCCTCAGCCCACCACGCGCCACCCACAAGCAGGCCCCAGGGTTCCCATGCGTCCCCTGCACTTCAAAGCGAAACACACTACACAATAATCACAGGGTGGGGGTGGGGGGGAGCGAGCTCAGACTGTCCCCTGGTCCAGGAGATATGGGAACATCCTAGAGAAAATGTGGATTAAGGGTCAACACCTTAAATAGTAGATGCCTGAGTGCTCCGCTGTTCTGGAAGATTCCTGGACTCACCTCCACCTGAAAATCATCGTGCTGCAAATCCAAGAGCCTGAAACAGTGTATCTGGGCCCTGCCTCCCTGCCCGCGCCCACACCTGGGCTCCGGGCCCTGGGCCAAGCTGGGGAGCACCTGCCGCACCCAACGTGCTCCTTTCTCTTTCTCCCCTTGTCGCTCACCTTGACGCCTTCTCAAGGGCTAATCGGGTGAGGAGAAGGGAAATTAAAGAATATGGGATGCTAGAAGAGTCCTGGGTTTAAGGCATGTGGAGAAAGGGTTGAGGCCTATTGGCTTGTGGGGGTTTTGGTTTCTGGATCTGGGCCAGTCCTCATTTTCCAGGGCTTTCTGGGGGGGCGGGGGGTGGGGCACAGGCACATGCTGTGCATCACAATAGATTGTCCCGAGGGGTGGGGTGGAGCCTCCATGATGGGGTGACACCAGCAACCTTCCCTGGGCTGGCACACTTTAACCGTTCAGTCGACCCCCACTGTGGGAGGAGGGCCCCCCCAAGGCCGTGGGACCCACACGGTGCCCTCTCTCGCTGCCACAGGCTCCCGTGCCCCCTCCAAAGCTGCGAGGCCCCAGCACCCTCGTCCCCCTGAATTCTCCTCTGCTCTCCACCCTCGCAGCCCCAGGAGACACCACGGAACTCCGAAGGGGCCGCTGCTCCACGAGCCCTGTCCTCCCCGCTGGCGGCACCTGTGTCTTCCGCATGTATCACGGGGCCCCTGGCAAGGGCAGGACGCAGGTGGACGAGGCCACAAGGAACAGAAGCGGTGGTTTGGGAGCCTGCGTCCAGGTACAGGAAGGGGTAGATTCGGAATTGGCTGGAACTGATGTCCAGGCACGATGCTACACGCATCACATATGCCCCGTCCTGTTGGCCGCTAGCGTCCTGGGAAAGGTACTGTCCCCGTTTCACTGATGAGCACGTCTGGGGAGGGCCTGGGCCTTGTGTGATGGCACTCGGCCCATCCGTGTCAAAGCTGAGCCCCAGACCCACCCAACGTGCTGCAGTCCAGGGCCTTCTCCAGCGCTCCCGAACCCCAGCCAGCCTCAGGGTTCACATTGCAGACCACCCCTTCCATGACCCCTGTGCTGACCTCCGCAGCCAAAAGTCATCCTTTCTCCTCCAGTTTCCCCTAGCACTGTCCTCGTACCTCCTTCAAGACGCTCGTCACACCCTATCCTGGCGTAGAATTGGTGTAAAGCCGTCTCCATTACACACCCTATAGATGTGTAAGCATCTGTAGGGGAAGCCCTCAGACTTGCATGTCACCGCAGTGACTCACCAAGCTCCAGGGTGTACATTCAGTAACTATTTGGATGGATGGATGGATGGATGGACGGATGGATGGATGGATGGATGGATGGATGATGGAAGGATGGATGGATGGATGGATGGAAGGAAGGATGGATGGATGGAAGGAAGGAAGGATGGATGGATGGATGGATGGAAGGATGAATGGAAGGAAGGAAGGAAGGAAGGAAGGAAGGAAGGAAGGAAGGATGAATGAGTGGCATCAAATGTGCCGAGACAGTCATAAGATTATTGCAAGATAGCTGTAACCACATTCATCTTTATTAGAAGAAATTCTGATGAGAGTACCGTGTAGGGGGTTTTGGTTTGTTTTTGTTTTTTTTTTTAATGATTAATGCTGAAAAAGGAACAATGTGGGGGGCATGCCTAGGAAAACCTTCTTCTTTGGAAACACGAAGCCCCTAGTGATTCCAACAGCTGCCTACGGATAAGAGGTGTAATCCTAGGGCAGCCCGGGTGGCTCAGCAGTTTAGCGTCACCTTCAGCCCAGGGCGTGATCCTGGAGACTCAGGATCGAGTCCCACATGGGCACCCTGCATGGAGCCTGCGTCTTCCTCTGCCTGTGTCTCTGCCTCTCTCTCTCTCTCTCTCTCTCTCTCTCTCTCTCTCTCTCTCGTTACTGTGTATTCTCATGAATAAATAATCTTAAAAAAGAGAGAGAGAGAGAGATGCAATCCTAGACAGGACGAATGAAGTCACTCAAATGGGACACGTTCTGTAGGACGGGTCACCTGAGAAGCTTCTCTCCAGAGATCCGCTGCTGGAGGGGAGAAGGAAAGGAGTCCCCCTCGCCCTCCCCGCGTGACACAAAGCGCTCTCCCAAAGAGAGAAGCCTCTGCCTTCCCAGGTCCAGGGGTGAGTCGGGCTTCCCACGCTCCGTGCCTGCGGGGATACCGCCTCCCGGCGAGAGCCACTCGCTCCAGGGGTGGGGGACACACGTGTTTGAAAGGCTGCCCCCCACTAATTTTCCAAGACCTCCCTCCACAAAAACAAATGAAAGCCTCTGGGGGACCTCTCCCTCCTGCCCGCCTCCCGAAACACTTGACTGCTACTTCTTAAGCGATTTACTAATTTGACCCCGCTCTGAATGAGAGCCACCGGCACTTCACTCCTTGCTAAGGGGCCTCGGCGTCGCACGCGTGCGTCACGGGGTGCCCCGGGGCCTACACAGCCGGGCACGCACCCGATGCTAGCGGAGCCGGATTCAGCCTCGGGGCCTGCAGGGTACACTGGATGCACACGCCCAGGTGTGATTCCCTAGGTCCGTGACACCACGGACTAGTTTTACCACCCTGGGACAGGGACCTGATGCCGCAAGCCTCCCTGTCTTCGCCTGTACAATGGGGACAGTAACACGAATTCGGTTCGACTTTTCTATTATCAGAAAATGACTTATGAGAAGTACTCAGCATAGTGCCTGGCACCGAGCAGGTTCCCTGCCAACGGCAGTGTGAGAACGACACCAAACTAAGATCATAAAGCCTTGAGTTCCAATCCTAGCTACTGATCCCCGGCATCCGGGAGACTCGGTTGGCCACCTGAGTACAGGAATCTTCCAAGCACTCAGATAGACACTAGCAGACGTAAGGTACCCGACAAAGCACGTCTCCTGTGGCAGACGCTCATCCCAGATATCCATTCCTGCCTCCCTCGCTCCAGGATCGACGGTCACCCACCAGCCTTTACGGAGAACCAGGTAACGCGCCTCTGACCCTATTTCTCCTGGATGCTCGTTGTTTAGCTGTAGGCCCTGAGATTCCAGAAGTGAGGGGACGAATCAATGTCCTATCCATGAGTCATCACTTACAAGAGCTGTCACGTGAAGCAGTGAACTCCCTGAGGCCGGAGGGAACCAGAAAGAAATGTTGGTGACAGGGGCCGATGGGAGGGAGGGAGGGAAGGATGGAGGGAGGAGCGGGGCTCCGGCACCCACTCATCACCAAGGCATCTGCCTACCTTGGGAGTCCATGCTCAGCGGTGAGTCGCAACGAGAAGTACAGATAGACTCCACCACTCGCACGGGGCTGGAAGGTTCTCCCTTCATTTCTGTAGCTGCAGACAAAGAGCTGCAGCTGTCCCCGTCACGTACGCTCCGGTGGGAGCCGTGGCTGAAGGTCATCGCATGAATATCATCGATGATCACAATCCTATTACTTCGCAGAATACAGTGCTGCGCTTTAGGGGAATTTGAGGATCACTTGCATTTTGTCACTGTATCACCTCAAATCAGCCTGGGAAATAGGTGAGTCTTAAATAATCATGATTTTAAGCGAGATTGGACATGGAAAAGTGTCTTGGAAACCTGCAAGACTCTATACAAACATGCATCACCAATGTTATACTTCAAAAAGTTTTTTTTTTTAAATCTTGCACTCTTTCAGATATCAAACTATCGGGATCCGCGGGTGGCGCAGCGGTTTAGCGCCTGCCTTTGGCCCAGGGCGCGATCCTGGAGACCCGGGATCGAATCCCACGTCGGGCTCCCGGTGCATGGAGCCTGCTTCTCCCTCTGCCTGTTTCTCTGCCTCTCTCTCTCTCTCTCTCTGTGACTATCATAAATAAATAAAAAATTAAAAAAAGATATCAAACTATCTTACACCCTCAGAAGACTCTAACAAGGGTGGAAACTGATGAATCCATCCTAACAGTCTTTCTAATCGGTTTGGTTTTATGTACAACCCCGGAAAAAAAAAAGCTGTGTCTACACTGAGCTCCTGAAAAATCCAGGTCAGGGTTGGCAAAAGGCAGAGGTGGGATCCTGAGGCTCTGGCTCTGCCCTCTTGACTCAGTCTACCCCTTAGTCCCTGTGGTGCTGGAATCTAAGAAATTCCCTTTCTGGCCCGGGTTCCACCTACGAGCATTTTCATTTTCTCATCCCGAGAACCCATGCCAGGGCTTTTCTGGGGACTCGGCTTCCCCAGCCAGCGCCAAGAACGCACCCCGGCCGCTCCCTGCTCTGCAGATACACGGCCCGCCCCCTCACTCTTCCAGGCGGGACCACCACCGCAGACAGAAGCCCACTGGGGCTGGGCCACCTACCTCCCAGCACCTCGCAGTCGCTGTCCATGCTGTCATGTACGCCTGCAAAGATGTTGGCCAGAGTGGACTTGCCCACCCCCTGCTCCCCTATGAGCACCACCCGGTAGTAGGTGTTCCCTGACTCGGAGGAGATGACTGAGTCCGTGGAGTCTGAGGACCAGCTCTGGCGACAGGGGTCCTCCGGGGCGGCCGACTGGCGGTGGCGCTGGCTGTACTGCGGGGGCTCTTTCTGGACCATCAGGTGCCTGCCGTCAGCTGGGATGCTCCAGCGCTGCTGCTGCGGCTGCATGCCCACGGGGCCCTGGCGCATGGTGACATTATTCAGAGTCATCGCTGGGTCCTGGAGAGCAAAGAGCCCAGAGGTACGTTAGTAAGCACAGCGAGCTGGGGGGGGGGGGGGGCACACCGTCAGCCAGCAGCAATAGCCGAGCAGGTGGGCTGAGCCCCAAGGAAGCCTGATATAAGGAACCCCAAGGAAACTGTCCCCAAATCCAAGAGGCTTTCCACTGGACACACACACACACACACACACACACACTAGTAACCAGCTCATTTGCAAGAGGAAGCAAGAGCCGCTAGCATCACCCAGCGTCCTCAGGAAGCGCACCCCGCAGGCCAGCCGAGCAACAAGCCGGAGGAGCTGCGGACGGAGCTGGGGACGGAGCTGGGGACGGAGCTGGGGACGGCGGCCACGTTAGCGGCTCTGGTCCAAACAGGGCTCCTAGCTGCACCCGCATCCAGAGGGCTTTGGTGCCCGGGCGGGAGACACGTGGCAATGACATCACCCCCGGGCTGCCCGGGACCAGCACTCATTGGAACTTCCATGTTTAGTAAAGTTGCCCTGGCGCCCTGCAGCTGCCTGAGTGAGCTAGTGCGGGGGGCAAAAAAAATAAAAAATATGAAAGGATTGAAAGGATTTCGGTTTGAGGTTCCTGCCTCAGCTCTGCCCTCTTGCCCACAGACACGGCGTCCTAAACCGCAGCCCCCAGCCGAGCGGGGGCAGGGAGGTGACCGCTGCGCCGGGACCCACCACCTCTGCAGCCAGGACGCCCCACTCCCACTAACCCACGTCCAGCTCAGATTTCCACCCTCCTGAGCGGAATCGGAGGCGCAAGGACCTGCCCAACGCCCCCAGCATCTTGGGGACAAGTTCTCCTCTGCGGAGGTCCCCGCAGGCCACTCCTGGTGAGCGTGGGAAACGCACACCCGCCTCCCCTCCGGGACGCACCACCCGGGGATGACCAGCCGGCCGGCTCCGCCGTGCCTCAGTGGGACGCCGGCGCTCCTGGGGCGGCCCCTGCGGGCGGAGGTGACCCTGCTCCGGGCCTGAACCCACGAACCTGGGGACCAAGGGCCTCGTCTGCACCTTCGGCTCTGCCCCTACCCGCTCCCCCGCTCCCCGCCCCCAAAGCCACAGCGCGCACCCAAGTTCCCGGGGCTCCCGGCTCAACTCAGAAAGTTCTGCGCGCTGGGAACGCCCACCCCGTGCCCGCCGGCTCCCGCTCCCCGCTCCCCGCGCTCCCGCCGCGGCCCAGGACCCCCCCCCCCGCCCCGACGCGCCCGCTTACTTGGCTCGGCCCGGGGGGCGCCCCGAATCCGCGAGTGCGTGGGTGCGCTGCGGTCCCGGGTCGCCGAGCGCGGGGTGCTCGCGGGGTGCTCCTGGGGTGAGCGCGGGGTGCTCTCGGGGTGCGCGGGGATGCGCGCGGGGTGCTCCTGGGGTGCGCGGGGTGCTCTCGGGGTGCGCGGGGTGCTCCTGGGGTGCGCGGGGTGCTCTCGGGGTGCGCGGGGATGCGCGCGGGGTGCTCCTGGGATGCGCGCGGGGTACCCTCGGGGTGCTCCTGGGGTGCGTGCTCTCGGGGTGCGCGCGGGGTATTCCTTGGGTGCTCTCAAGGTGCTCTTGGAGTGCGCGTGGAGTGCTCGCGGGGTGCTCCCGGGGTGGTCCCGGGGTGCTCTCAGGGTGCTCCTGGGGTGCTCCCGGGGTGGCCCCGGAGTGCTCGCGGGGTGGTCCCGGGGCGCTCTTGGGGTGCTCCCGGGGTGCTCGCGGGGCGCTCGCGGGGTGCCCGCCGTCCGTGCCGCCGCCCGCAGCCGCCGCGGGCCGCAGTTTATACCGCGGCGGCAGGTCCTCGCCGGGGCTTTTCCGTGACGTCAGCGCCCCCGCGGGAGGGGCGGCTCTGCAGCGAACCCCGAGTCGCGGCCTCGCCGCCCAGACGGTTACTCGCAGTCATGTGACCCCGCAACCTCTCCCTTTTGAAAAATAACGACGGTTCTTCCCGGGCTCCTTTATTTCGCTTTCTCCCATTGCTACCAGGTGGGAGCGCGAAGATGGAGAAACACCGCGCGCCCCCTCCCCGCGCCCCAGCCCCCAGCCCCCAGCCCCCTCCTCCCCTGGTCCCCTCCGCGACCCCCCCAGGCCCCCTCCTCCCCCATCCCCCTGCTTCCCCATCCCCCACCCCCTCCCCCCCATCCCTCTCCCCCCTCCCCCCCCCCTGGTCCCTGGGGGACGCGGCAGGACAGCCCCAGCCCCACACCGCTGTTTCCCGTCTCCCGCACGACCCACAGAGAAGGGGCCGCAGAGGTGATGAGGGGACGGGACCTGGGAGGGCAGCTGCGAAAACCCACTGGCTCAGAGGTGCAAGCTGCTGGCCGGCCCGATGCCGATGCAGATGCGGAGGGATGCCAGGGATGCCGAGGCTCGGAGCGGGCCCTCCGTGGGCGCGGGCGTGGGGAGGAGCCCTGAGCCCTGAGCCCGGCCGGGCCTTGTCCCCCCACCCGACCCTCCCCTCCGGGGCAAGTATTAACCACTACCAGCCCCGCGGACCTCAGGCCTCGGAGTACCCAGACCCACTCGGCGGGAGCGTGGGGTCCATCCTACCACAGGCCTGCAAGGCAGCCACTATTGCTTCCCCCATTCCGTGGAGAAGAGTGCCCGGGGCCAGGGAGCTTGCCCAAGGTCACGCAGCTCCTGGAAGTGGCAAAGTCAGGATCCAAAGCCTGGTTTGCGGGACTCTTTGCACTGCACCACCAGCTGAAGGGTTTCGGTGACCTCTTTCTGGGGACATGGGCACTTCCCAGACGCTGGGTTTGGAGATGACACCGGCCTTTTCCAACACATCCATCCGCTTTTCCAGCCAGCTCCATCTCTGGGTTGGCTGGCGGCTCCGGGAAGCAGCCAAAGGCCCGCATCCATCCGAGTGGCTGGGCTCTGCTCTGATTACAGCCCATTCTCAGTCATCCCGCATGCAGTTATCCGCACTGGGGACTATCCAAGTGACCAGCTACTGAGACCTGCCAGGCCCCGAGCTGGCAAAGGTGGGATCCACAGAGTCATGAAAATTTAGAGCTCATTCCACCCCAGGTGCTTGGCCTCAATTCCTACTTTATACATAAGAACTCGAGACCCGGGGGGATGACCACCACTCGGCTGGTAGTAACTGGAGCTGGAACTAGAACCCGGGTATCATAATTTCCCGGATGGTGCCCTTCATTACCATCGAATTTTTTTTCTGGGCTTAGGCAGGAGGGGATGGCCACAGATGCGGGGAAAGATTAGTATGGGGGCGCAGGGCGGGGATTGCCTGGGGGAGGGAAAGAGATCATCTAAGACGATAGCTGACTGCATGCTGCAACACCTGTCATTTGTGGATTATCTGCATTTCAGAATTTACCAGGCTTTTTCCGTGCTGAGCCTCCTACTCTGTCAACTGGTCTCCACTGAAACATTATGTGGCTAAAACCTAAGAATAAATCAGAATCTATTAAGCATTTTATATAGCCTCTCAATGCTACTTCTGCCTTTGATAAGAACCTAATTCTTACTCAGTGGTGGAGCGTCTGCCTTCGGCTCAGGGTGTGACCCCGGGGTCCGGAGTTGGAGTCCCACATCAAGCTCCCCACAGGGAGCCTGCTTCTCCCTCTGCCTGTGTCTCTGCCTCTCTCTGTGTCCCTCATGAATAAATAAAATCTTTGAATGAATGAATGAATGAATGAATGAATCTGCCTTCTTAAATTATTTTCCCACAAAACCTAGCTGGGAAAACAACTACTCAGCAAAAGTTTCAACTGAACGACAGTTAGGTTGGAGTATGTGGACAAAAATCACACTTATACCTCACAAAAACACATTCGAGAGCCAGAGCTTAGCCACAGAATCCCAGCTACCTTGTCCAGGATTCCAGCTCACTGGGACCATCTGAGGGTGTGGAACCGGGGAAAGAAAAAAAAAGGGCAGAATCAGGGCATTTGGACAAGTGGCAAGTTCCGAAGAGGAAAATATTGGCAGAATATTGTAGCTTCTTATTCTACGAATTATTCTCTCCATAGTCCTTCTGGCAGCATTTGAGGGCTCCCTTGGGCCCCAGCTAACAGGAAGACCCGTGTCACTAGAAGGCAGAGCTCAAAATTCACTAACATTTACTGAATACGCATGCCTTCCACGTCTCCCAGATTATTAATGGTGACTGTCCTAGACAAACTATTTGGGGACGTGAATGAATCAACAAAAACTTAAAGACTTTTTTGTAAAGCAAACTAAGGAGATCTTCATCGTCATCACCACTGTACGTCCCCATGGTTTACGGGTGAAGGGGATGAGGAAAGAGGTGAAACAATCTGTCCAAGGTCCAGGGCCCACCCTCCAGGGCCATGATCTTAACCCGTCCTACTCAGAGTAGGGAAGACACGTCAGCCGTTCCCACGCTGCCACCTCAGGCCATACCTTCCTCCTGACTCCCCTCGGAAGAGGAGTTTTTATCCGATTGGCCAAAGCTCCTGACCTTCACTGGGCCACATTTTACCAAGGGGCAGCTTTCTCTACTTAAAGGCATGAGCCATCCTCTTCCTCTCCTTTCTCTGGGTTCCATGCCCTGGATGAGAATAGGGACTTGGGGTTCATTTAAGGCCCCAGCGACCTCTCTGTCTCTGTCACTCTTCCTCTTAGAATAGAGACCTGAGCCCCCGAGTCCCATGATTTCAAGAAGGGATGAGAGCAGGTGGAAAGAGGTGGGAAAGAAGGAGAAGATAGAACTTTGACAAGGACTGTGGGTTGGAGACTAGGGACCAGTGCAACCATTAATATTTCTCAGACTCTCATCCCTTGAAAACTCTAGGGGAGGTGAGATGATGTGTAGACCCAAGATCCGTGCATCCTCAGTAGGTAACACGACCCTAAAGCAAGAGAATCACTCGGCCTTTAACATACCAAACTGCCTCATCGACACTAGACACCTACTGCAACCAAGGGGTGCATACCCAGGCCACCAAGTCTTGCTACTCAGTGGCAAAGGTGACACCGTCCATATGCTCTCCCTTTCCCACTAACAGAAGGTAGATCACAGACTGGGCACTGAGGAGGTGATAAAATAAATGGATTTTTAATTTGCTTTTTAAATGTATTGCGTTTCAACGCCTTTAGGCCAGGCATGTTCTCCAATTTCCCACAGTCCTCACTAGCCCCTACTGTTTTCTACCCCAGCCAGCTTCTCTCATTAGATTACATACCTGGCCCAAGGGGATCTGACTTTGTAACCCCTGTAGGAGCTGTAAGAAAAGGTAAGGAGGGGATTCAGCATCAGAAAATCTAGAAAATGAGTGAAAATATCAGTGAGGGTGACAAAACATGAGAGACATCTAACTCTGGGAAACGAACAAGGGGTGGTGGAAAGGGAGGTGGGGGGGGTTGGGGTGACTGGGTGACGGGCACTGAGGGGGGCACCGGGCGGGGTGAGCACTGGGTGATATGCTATATGTTGGCAAATTGAACGCCAATAAAGAAAAAAAAAAGAAAAGCAAGTTCAAACCCAGGCCTTTTTTCTTCTAAGGCACGGGATGCTGGGCATGTCAGCAGACCCCAGAGGCCTTGACCTCTGTCGTTTGGAAGAGCTACTGAGTGTGGAAGTGCTGTGTCAACCCCAGAGCACCATGTCAATGCCAGTGATTATGATTATGACGCAGGAACCAAAGACTGGAGCTGGGCCACCTGCCCTCGGCTTTGCTGCCTCTTAAGGCTCAAGTTAAATTAATCCAGCAGAATGCAGGACCCACGAGGCACCGGGAGGGAGGCGGGGGATGTACTCACACTGATGTTACTGGGAAAAAATAATTAGTGAGGAGAATGCGATGGTTCAGCTCTCTGGAAACCAACAGGGAGCCGGGGTCAAATACTCAGCTCGCATCATAGGTCTCCACCAGCCACAAAAGCGCTCGGGAGGAGCTGGGTGGGAGGCAATGTGCAAAGTGTCTGAGCACAAAAAGAACCACCCACCCCCTCCAGGAAGTCTAAAGAAGGAAAGAATTACTATATGGAAAATCGTAGTTTTACAGAAGGGGGAAGAAAAAGGCTCCAATTGCAAAATCAAGAGAGGCCTGATTAAGAGAAAATAAAGACCGAAGAAAAGATGGCTAAGAATAACCTCTCAACACCCAGGGGCCTGTGGGATCCAGATGGACACTCCTTCCAGCTGCATCCTCCCTCGCTGGCCCCAGCGCCTCATCAGACTCCTGCTGAGCAGATTCAATTTTCCATTGAAAAATTCTTAGCTTTCCCCCTTCCTCCACTGTTAGCGCAGCCTGCAGGCCTTACGGCTCCTGCTAAGATCCTGCAGCGTGAATGAGGAAGTGCAGAGTGTATCTCCGCAAGCCAAGGGGAGGCTCCTGGTCTCTGTTCTCGGCCCAGCTTCCTCCATTCATTCATTCATTCATTCATTCAACAAGATGTAAGTGCTGAGCATCTCCCTGATGCCAGAGCCTGTTCTAAGGGCTAGGAAGAGGTACTTATAACTCATGGAGCTGAAGTTCTGGTGGGAGAAATAATAAAACAAACAAAATATCACCATATTCATTCCTTCATTCATTCATACTCGGAGCACTCCCTACTTTAGCCTCAGTCTTCTCATCTGTAAAAGGGAATGATAATCCCGGAGAAGATGTGTAAAGTAGGGGCCCAGCACATTCCCATTCAGAAGTCTGACGATGCCAACGCTGACGAAAATGTAAAGGGAGGTTCTTTTGCCTTACTGGTGGGAGCTTAAGTAGGTATGGCCACCTTCGGAGGTCAGCCATCAACATCC